AGAAGCAGAAGACACCAAAGAAGCAGAAGACACCAAAGAAGCAGAAGACACTAGAGAAGCAGAAGACACTAAAGAAGCAGAAGACACTAAAGAAGCAGAAGACACTAGAGAAGCAGAAGACACCAAAGAAGCAGAAGACACCAGAGAAGCAGAAGACACTAAAGAAGCAGAAGACACTAGAGAAGCAGAAGACACTAAAGAAGCAGAAGACACCACAAGATTCGTTCTGAGCCTCATCGGCCTTTAATCAGGTTAGTGCAAATAATGTGATCTGTCCAATCGGATTGGTTGTCTGTCTCAGGAGATGATGACTGACGTCAGATATACAAAGCGGTTTATCAGTAATGTGCAGAAGGATCAGACCCGGGTAAGAAGGAACACCCCCATGCCTCCCCTCCTGGTCAGAGGTCCTTCCCCCGAGTATATGGCACCCCTGAGGAGGTCATCATTTATGGTGATATGAAGAGAATATTATAGGTATACGACAGTCCAGATCTTCCAGGAAGTCCCCGAGGTTTCCTCCTCAATAGGTGTCATCCAATCCCCAGGCTTCGGTCACTGGACCGCCTTCTTCTCACAGATGTAGCGATAGGCGCGGGAACAATGCTCATCATTCCAGTCACCGCTGTAGTAGAGCTGAACACAGTCCTCGCCACCACCGAGACCGTGACCGAAATACTCATCCGGCTGGCCGCTGGCCCAGTGTCTGCAAGGAAGAAACATATATAAGAAGAGTCCGGCAATGGAGGTCACCAAATGTGGAGGCCACTAATGTAAACTTGTCTGGAGCCCTTCCAGAGCATTCCCGAGCTTGCAACCTACAGCAGAGTGAGAGGACCGTCAGTCAAGAAGAACACAGGACTTCTCCAGGGGACTGAGAGAGTCCCACAACTCCTGGACTGACCTCTTATCTGAAGTGTTGGGACAGTTTTCCCGGACAGAGGAACACGAGAAGGCTGCGGAGCTCCAACTTATGGTCTCTTCAGGTGTTGTGGCCCCGGGCTACCGAGAAAGAGGGGACAGTGGCCTCATCTCATGATTGGTGCACAATCTGGACACCTGCAGCCAATGTCCCACCACTGACCAGTCCCGGAGATCTCCTGTGATTGGAGGTGAAGGAAGAACGTACAATTCGAATGTTCTAACACAGAAATGTAGATGAGGAGAAGTCAATAAGGACATTACTTTGGTGTCGAGGAAAATGGGGTCCCGTCCACCCATTTCCACTCTCCATTTATTTCACTCAGACCAATCCAGACCCGATTCTTCATGGCCAGTTTAGTCAGGAAAACCTGGAGGACACAATGCCGAGAAGTGATGAGAACAATGGAGAGAAGGAGGTTGGGAGGCGTTTGCCGGGATGGTTCCAGGCGAGTGGTGGGCACATTGTTGTAGTGGGGTGCGGGCACACTGATGGAATCCTATTACTGCCCAAATTTCCTGCCCCACCCCCCTCCTCGGTTCTAACTGCAGAGGAGCCAACGTGTTCTGGTGATGGAATGGCACAGCCATCGTTATGTCACATGCCATTTACAGGCGTGTGCTGCTCTATGTAAGGGGGAGCTGAATGTTTGATCCTAGCCTTGATCTTAGTGAGTCTTGGCCACCACATGGCTTACCTCCTAGATACATCCAGACCACCACATGGACTTATCTCCATGACCCATTCCAGACCACCACATGGACTTATCTCTACGACCCTTTCCAGACCACCACATGGACTTATCTCCATGACCCCTTCCAGACCACCACATGGACTTACCTCTACGACCCATTCCAGACCACCACATGGACTTATCTCCATGACCCATCCAGACCACCACATGAACTTATCTCCATGACCCATTCCAGACTACCACATGGACTTATGTCCATGACCCATTCCAGACCACCACATGGACTTATCACCATGACCCATTCCAGACCGCCACATGGACTTATCTCCATGACCCATTCCAGACCACTACATGGACTTATCTCCATGACCCATTCCAGACCACCACATGGTCTTATCTCCATGACCCATTCCAGACCACCACATGGTCTTATCTCCATGACCCATTCCAGACCACCACATGAACTTATCTCCATGACCCATTCCAGACCACCACATGGACTTATCTCAAGGACATGCTCAGACCACCACATGACACATGGACTCCTTTTGGCTGCCCTCCTAATCCAATACATTCCATATCCCAGGAAGCTGAGAGCTCCTCCCGATCACATCTCATCATATGGAAACAAGTGCTCGGGCCGTGTGCGGGAGCCAATCTTCTGTGCCCTGAACCCTCACTCTAAGCTCCTCCCACTGTCTTACCCAATGGTCCTCTGTCTCACTGTCTCAAACTCTGACCCTTTGTGGTCACAATCTCCCAACATTGACCCCCTTCTGCTGCGAGCCACAAACATGCCACCAGAAGAACGCCTCCTGCGCCCAGTCTGAACCCTCTTTGTGGCTGTTTGGCTGCCGCTCCCCCACACAGCCTCTGTTGTCAATTACAAGAGACATATGGGTGGGGGCGGGGCAGAGGGGTGGGGGGCGGAGCAGGTGGATAGATCTTTAGTATTAAACTCATGGTGCACACATACCTACCAACATTATGGTCCCGGCTCCCACTGTTAACCCCGCCCACCATCTGCATTTCATTACGTTTAGGGCCAATTTGGGCCCACTTTATAGGTTGGTGAAAGCCAGACCCCGCCTCTAAATATGAGGGGATGGGCCACCTCACCCACTTTATAGGTTGGTCAAAGCCAGGCCCCGCCTCTAAATATGAGGGGATGGGCCATCTCACCCGCTTTATAGGTTGGTCAATGCCAGACCCCGCCTCCAAATATGAGGGGATGGCCCATCTCACCCACTTTATGGGTTGGTCCCGTCCAGACCCCGCCTCTAAATATAAGGGGATGGCCCATCTCACCCACTTTATGGGTTGGTCAAAGCCAGACCCCGCCTCTAAATATGAGGAGATGGCCAGTCTCACCTGCTTTATGGGTTGGTCCCGTCCAGACCCCGCCTCTAAATATGAGGGGATGGCCCATCTCACCCGCTTTATAGGTTGGTCCCGTCCAGACCCCGCCTCTAAATATAAGGGGATGGCCCATCTCACCCGCTTTATAGGTTGGTCAAAGCCATACCCCGCCTCTAAATATGAGTAGATGGCCAGTCTTACCTGCTTTATGGGTTGGTCCAGACCCCGCCTCTAAATATGAGGGGATGGTCCATCTCACCCGCTTTATAGGTTGGTCCCGTCCAGACCCCGCCTCTAAATATGAGGGGATGGTCCATCTCACCCGCTTTATAGGTTGGTCCCGTCCAGACCCCGCCTCTAAATATGAGGGGATGGTCCATCTCACCCGCTTTATAGGTTGGTCCCGTCCAGACCCCGCCTCTAAATATGAGGGGATGGTCCATCTCACCCGCTTTATAGGTTGGTCCCGTCCAGACCCCGCCTCTAAATATGAGGGGATAGCCCATCCTCCCGTGCGGCCATATCTCCACCAACGTAGAGTATGAGGTTGGGTATTTTAGCTCCTCCTCTTTTAGCTCCTCCCATTCTAGCTCCTCCTTGACACTGACCTGCTCCTCCTGGGTGTTGACGACGGTCAGTCGGGCCTTCCTCCTCTGGCACATCCTCTGAGATTCCGTCCACGGTTTGGCCATATTGGAGAAGTAGTAGCAGCTGTTCCGGAACTGAGACCAATCATCAGGACAGGCGCCATCGTAGGTCTCTAGGAGGAGGAGACCCCGCCCCGTTACTGGGGAAATTAGAGGGAGCCCCGCCCCCACCCCCCTCAGATATGTACTAAAGGAGTGGAGAATTTTCACTGAGTCCAATCATCTGCATGCACGCTGGTTCTACTCATGCCCACGGCTGGGCGGAGCAGAGAGGTCACCCGCCTTTGTACTCGCTGCTCAGCCAATCAGTGAACGGGTCTATAAGGATCCTGGGAAAGCTGTCTACCATTGCCATGGTTGCAGGGCAGAGAGATTACAATGTTTAGTGCAATAGGAACCAGCAAATTTTCCTTTTTATAGGGGGGAGGGGCAAAGGTTTCTGTCTTGTGAAGAGTGTCCCTCACTTCCTGTCTCTGTGACACCGTACAGGAAATGTGAGGTGTGGTTGTCACCGGGACACGGACATAATATCCGCCATCCCCATCCCCTGTGTGTGTCCCCGTTCATGACAGGCAGGAAATCCCCCAATAGGGGCAGGACATCTAACGGAGGCTCCGCCCCTTCCCCAAATAAGGAAATAGAACAATGTAACAAAACTCACCATTGTCCGGAGGAAGTCTGTGCGCCCCGTTCCTGGATACCAGTCCGTGCTGCGATCCATCTACAGAGAGACACAGAGGAGAGTCCTCACACCCCTCACCAGAGGAGAGTCCTCACACCCCTCACCGGAGGACAGTAACCCCCCACCCCTCCCATCCCCAACCTCCCCAACAGGTTCACTAAATGGTATTACATCCGTCCCCAGGCGGCAGAGAGACTCACCTTTCCCGTTTTCCTGTCCATTAAACCCTTCGCTGCCGTCACTGTCCTGGGCGGAGACACTTCTTTCATTACCCCCGGAACCTGCAACGGAGAGCAATCAGGAATCAGTAACTGTACCCACACGTCCAATCCCAGCCCAGGAAGAAGATGATGACTCTGGATGATGGCTGAATAAAGATGGCGCCTGGAAGTGTTCCAGTGACACATTACTCAGCACATTGTACTTCTATATCTCATGAAAGGTCCACCAAGAAAATCGGCAGCACCAAGAACTAGTGTGCCGCGTCCACCGTATCCTGAACCCCTCAACTCTGGTGGTGTCCTTCAGAGGAGAAAGGAAGTGATTGTGCGTTACAGCTGTGGTGAAAGATGTGATGGGCGTAGGGCGGGGAATATACAGTGAATGATCGGTGAATATCATTCCGGAATCCAGCCAATCATATTCCAGGAACTGTACAATTGCGGTGAAATGCAGAAATCAGCCGTTTCCACCTTTCTAGGCCACCGAACACCAAACAAGATCCGAGAATATTCCGGGAATGTGATGTCTGTTCTGATATGTCTGAGCGATTTCCTCACCTCGGGTGGAGGCGGTGACCACGATGTTCACAATGATGAGTCCGGCACAGACGCAGAAGAGAAGAACGATGAAACGAGAAGAGACCGGCTGCTGAAACCACTTCGGTTCTCTGGTGACTGGACAGAAGAAGACAGAAGAGTGCTCAGAACATGTACAACACCACCGCCCCATCACCACCCAGACCACCAACACCGGGACCCCTGTCCTCCAATACATGGGAGATATTACCACCACCGCATTGCCACCCAGACCACCAACACCGGGACTTCTGTCCTCCAATACATGGGAGATATTACCACCGCCCCATCACCACCCAGACCACCAATACCGGGACCCCTGTCCTCCAATACATGGGAGATATTACCACCACCGCCTCACCACCCAAACCACCAATACCGGGACCCCTGTCCTCCAATACATGGGAGATATTACCACCACCCCCTCACCACCCAAACCACCATTACCGGGACCCCTGTCCTCCAATACATGGGAGATATTACCACCGCCCAGACCACCATTACCCGGATCCATGTCCTCTGATATGTGGAGCATTGTGAGGTCGGTATACGCCATCCTGATCTTTTACACAACCGTGGGCACTGCAAGGAAACCACACATTGATTAATGTCATAGCTCATCAGGTGGATGGACGATAGACATTTCACTATCTTCTGACCCGGGGCCACCAGGAACCATCTCCTGACTATGGGAATGAGGTGCACCCTAAGCACTGACCATTGTAAAACTGGACTCCCCTGTAGACCCCTGTAGGCCGCACATCACTGGTCTTCTGTCATGTGACCTTTTTCTGGATTTACATTCACAATAGTCGTCATCAGCAAAAAACTCTTTAAGCAAGTTGAGGGTTTGATATGGGGAGGAGTCTGCTGTAGCGGAGGATCCCGGGGGCCACAATAGCTCTCGTCAAGCTTGACTCAGAATAGTTGGTGGTTCTCCCATCAGACGCTCATCGGACTGGCATCTAAAGTGGGACCAGGGGGGGACTCGGGGCACAGAAGAGAGAATCTGGAGGGTTTAGGAGGGATCTGCGGTCCAGCCTGGCCTCCTGATTGAAGAATCTCCACCCAATTAAAGGCACGAAGACCCGAAAAGGAAACAAATCCCTTAAAGGGCCCTCACATGGGGCTGATTGTACTGGTGACTCCTGAGGACAGAGGGAACTCGGGGTCTCTGCCTGGAGGAGGTCGGAGTCCATGGAAATAATTCTTCCCGGTTCTGCCAGGCTCCTCGTACGGTTCTTCGGGGTGATCTTCCCCCCAGGTGACCCCACTTCAGCCAACATCCGATATCAGACTTCTCCAATACTGACCCAAAATCCAGCAAACATGCCCCTCCCCCCATGGGTCAGGAGGTGACCGCGGTGGACTCATTTGGGATTTTTCCTCGTTTTCTCTGGTTTCGGGGTATTTGAGTCTCTAATGTGGGAACTTTTGTGTCTCACTTCTCGGACCGGCCGGAGGAAAAACGGGACATTTATAGCTGGAAAAGGTCAAAGTTCAACAAGACAAACAATTCTGAACTTTATAAAGGGTCATTGACAGCCGGGAGCCCCTCCCCCTCACCGCCGGGCGCTCACCTCCCGCATCTACTACTACAGACAATCAGATTTACTTCCAGAACATTCTATGTGACCCCTCCGCCCTCGGCCGGGACCCAGGGGAGCCGCGTGCTTAAGGGGTAACTCTGCTCATTCCCGTTATGTCCAAACAGGCTCTTGAATAGTGACGAGCGGATGACAGGTCCCTGGAAATGTCCTCACTCTTCTAATCCTGCTCTTGAAGTATCCAGTGTGCCCAGTGGGGTGGGGGAGAGGGGGTTCATTCAACGCTGCGTCTATGGCCGGCGAAACATGAACACGTGCCATCGGAGAGATCCAATACTTCAAGAGCCTGTATAGACCTACCGCAAGAAGATGGACAAAAGAAATGTTTTGTAAAGAAAAAAAGCCCAGGAAACCATCTACGGGCCGAAAAAACAGGAAATCCGCAAAAAAAACTGAGCCGACGAAACGTAACCCCGATTAACCCCTGCATTTAACCCTTTACACCGAACCCAGAACACCAAGGACAGGAACCAATCAGAGGAAGCCATCACTGCGCCCACTAACATACAGCTAAAGGAGGACCCCGGACTACGCAGAAAGAGTGAATCTGCCACATTCACTTCATCAACAGATTCACCAACAACGCTCAAAGACATGAGGAGCCGGGCACTGCCATGGGGGACATGTACTATGTACTATAATAAGACATGAGGAGCCGGGCACTGCCATGGAGGACATGTACTATAATAAGACATGAGGAGCCGGACACTGGCATGGGGGACATGTACTATAATAAGACATGAGGAGCCGGGCACTGCCATGGGGGACATGTACTATAATAAGACATGGGGGGCCGGGCACTGCCATGGGGGACATGTACTATAATAAGACATGGGGAGCCGGACACTGGCATGGGGGACATGTACTATAATAAGACATGAGGAGCCGGGCACTGCCATGGAGGACATGTACTATAATAAGACATGAGGAGCCGGACACTGGCATGGGGGACATGTACTATAATAAGACATGAGGAGCCGGACACTGGCATGGGGGACATGTACTATAATAAGACATGAGGAGCCGGACACTGGCATGGGGGACATGTACTATAATAAGACATGAGGAGCCGGACACTGGCATGGGGGACATGTACTATAATAAGACATGAGGAGCCGGACACTGGCATGGGGGACATGTACTATAATAAGACATGAGGAGCCGGACACTGGCATGGGGGACATGTACTATAATAAGACATGAGGAGCCGGACACTGGCATGGGGGACATGTACTATAATAAGACATGAGGAGCCGGACACTGGCATGGGGGACATGTACTATAATAAGACATGAGGAGCCGGACACTGGCATGGGGGACATGTACTATAATAAGACATGAGGAGCCGGACACTGGCATGGGGGACATGTACTATAATAAGACATGAGGAGCCGGACACTGGCATGGGGGACATGTACTATAATAAGACATGAGGAGCCGGACACTGGCATGGGGGACATGTACTATAATAAGACATGAGGAGCCGGACACTGGCATGGGGGACATGTACTATAATAAGACATGAGGAGCCGGACACTGGCATGGGGGACATGTACTATAATAAGACATGAGGAGCCGGACACTGGCATGGGGGACATGTACTATAATAAGACATGAGGAGCCGGACACTGGCATGGGGGACATGTACTATAATAAGACATGAGGAGCCGGACACTGGCATGGGGGACATGTACTATAATAAGACATGAGGAGCCGGACACTGGCATGGGGGACATGTACTATAATAAGACATGAGGAGCCGGACACTGGCATGGGGGACATGTACTATAATAAGACATGAGGAGCCGGACACTGGCATGGGGGACATGTACTATAATAAGACATGAGGAGCCGGACACTGGCATGGGGGACATGTACTATAATAAGACATGAGGAGCCGGACACTGGCATGGGGGACATGTACTATAATAAGACATGAGGAGCCGGACACTGGCATGGGGGACATGTACTATAATAAGACATGAGGAGCCGGACACTGGCATGGGGGACATGTACTATAATAAGACATGAGGAGCCGGACACTGGCATGGGGGACATGTACTATAATAAGACATGAGGAGCCGGACACTGGCATGGGGGACATGTACTATAATAAGACATGAGGAGCCGGACACTGGCATGGGGGACATGTACTATAATAAGACATGAGGAGCCGGACACTGGCATGGGGGACATGTACTATAATAAGACATGAGGAGCCGGACACTGGCATGGGGGACATGTACTATAATAAGACATGAGGAGCCGGACACTGGCATGGGGGACATGTACTATAATAAGACATGAGGAGCCGGACACTGGCATGGGGGACATGTACTATAATAAGACATGAGGAGCCGGACACTGGCATGGGGGACATGTACTATAATAAGACATGAGGAGCCGGACACTGGCATGGGGGACATGTACTATAATAAGACATGAGGAGCCGGACACTGGCATGGGGGACATGTACTATAATAAGACATGAGGAGCCGGACACTGGCATGGGGGACATGTACTATAATAAGACATGAGGAGCCGGACACTGGCATGGGGGACATGTACTATAATAAGACATGAGGAGCCGGACACTGGCATGGGGGACATGTACTATAATAAGACATGAGGAGCCGGACACTGGCATGGGGGACATGTACTATAATAAGACATGAGGAGCCGGACACTGGCATGGGGGACATGTACTATAATAAGACATGAGGAGCCGGACACTGGCATGGGGGACATGTACTATAATAAGACATGAGGAGCCGGACACTGGCATGGGGGACATGTACTATAATAAGACATGAGGAGCCGGACACTGGCATGGGGGACATGTACTATAATAAGACATGAGGAGCCGGACACTGGCATGGGGGACATGTACTATAATAAGACATGAGGAGCCGGACACTGGCATGGGGGACATGTACTATAATAAGACATGAGGAGCCGGACACTGGCATGGGGGACATGTACTATAATAAGACATGAGGAGCCGGACACTGGCATGGGGGACATGTACTATAATAAGACATGAGGAGCCGGACACTGGCATGGGGGACATGTACTATAATAAGACATGAGGAGCCGGACACTGGCATGGGGGACATGTACTATAATAAGACATGAGGAGCCGGACACTGGCATGGGGGACATGTACTATAATAAGACATGAGGAGCCGGACACTGGCATGGGGGACATGTACTATAATAAGACATGAGGAGCCGGACACTGGCATGGGGGACATGTACTATAATAAGACATGAGGAGCCGGACACTGGCATGGGGGACATGTACTATAATAAGACATGAGGAGCCGGACACTGGCATGGGGGACATGTACTATAATAAGACATGAGGAGCCGGACACTGGCATGGGGGACATGTACTATAATAAGACATGAGGAGCCGGACACTGGCATGGGGGACATGTACTATAATAAGACATGAGGAGCCGGACACTGGCATGGGGGACATGTACTATAATAAGACATGAGGAGCCGGACACTGGCATGGGGGACATGTACTATAATAAGACATGAGGAGCCGGACACTGGCATGGGGGACATGTACTATAATAAGACATGAGGAGCCGGACACTGGCATGGGGGACATGTACTATAATAAGACATGAGGAGCCGGACACTGGCATGGGGGACATGTACTATAATAAGACATGAGGAGCCGGACACTGGCATGGGGGACATGTACTATAATAAGACATGAGGAGCCGGACACTGGCATGGGGGACATGTACTATAATAAGACATGAGGAGCCGGACACTGGCATGGGGGACATGTACTATAATAAGACATGAGGAGCCGGACACTGGCATGGGGGACATGTACTATAATAAGACATGAGGAGCCGGACACTGGCATGGGGGACATGTACTATAATAAGACATGAGGAGCCGGACACTGGCATGGGGGACATGTACT